ATCCCACTGAAGGCAAACAGAGGCTTTCCATCTCCCAGAACCCATGTCCCCAATGTGCAGAGAGGAAAGGAGCTAATCAGTCAGAACTGCATTAAGTTTCTCTTCTTGGCTCCAGTTACTTCTTCAAACGGCTGAAGTTCTTGGGTAACAAGCTGCTGTCACAGGCATTAACCCTGTTCTTCCTGGCTGTGTGGCATGGGCTGCACTCTGGCTACTTGGTGTGCTTCCAAATGGAGTTCCTCATAGTCATCGTTGAGAGACAGGTATGCTGTGTCCAATATGTTAGCAGGGAGGTGGCTTGTGATAGCCAAGCCCTGTGGGTTCTAAAGACTTAGGAGTCTGTGGCAGCTCTGAGAAACTACTACACTGGAAACTTTATCTATATTTATATATGAAACTGACCTGTTCCTTGCAGGGTGCATTGATTTTTAAATCATGGTGATTTAAATTACTGATTTAAATCAAGTTACCAAAAAGCTAAGACTGACTATGCTTAGAGTTCCCTTAATTTTGGAGTTAGCACCATTGAACTCACTGGCACTTTTATTTTTTGAGAAAACAAGTACAGAATTGGGTTCCCTTGGAAAAGTTGGATTATGCTGAAGTAAAATAGAGAATAGATTTATAGCATCACCATTGTGGTCTGTGACCATGATGTTCCAAAACAAGGGGCATGTACTATGTAATATAAAACTGGCAACTCTAAATTTCTCTTATTGCAACTTTGAGTGACAGATTCTAAACCTAGTTAACTAATTAAACAAGCCATAAGGATTAACTGAACTAAACTATTTTTTTCTAGCAATGTCCAACATACCAAACACCTTGGGAGTCTGTTAAATCACACTTACACTGAAAGGTGTAGAGTCTTGAAGAATGATGGCAAAGTAAATTATTTAAGTTGATTCACTCAGCCATATCCACACCTTCATCCACATCATTTTCTCCCAATAAGCAGTTTCTTTATGATGTTTCATTCTGGCAGCTAGACCCTGCAGACTTTTAACAGAGTTCAAAAAAGAACTAGATAAGTTTATAGAGGATAGGCCCATCAATGGCTGTTAGCCAGGATGAGTTGGAATAGTGTCCCTTGCCTGTTTGTGAGAAGCTGGGAATGGGCAACAGGGGAGAGATCACTTGATCACCTGTTCTGTTCAATCCCTCTGGCATTGGCCACTGTTGGCAGACAGGACACTAGGCTAGATGGGTCTAATCTGGTATGGCCGCTCTTATGTTCTTCTTGCAATGCTTACACTTAACACATTTTCTTTTTTACTCAAGGAACAAATTGCATCAAAATATTCCCAGATGGTCATTCTTATGCTGAGAAGCCATGACACTTTTGCTATAGAAAAACTATGGGAGAATATAGGAAGCTCTGTGTGTGCTGAATGTCTTCCCTTTTCTTTCTTGTCAACTCCACTGTTCCTTTCTATGCTGCCTCTGTCCTTTCCTATATATTGCGTGTCTGTCTTTAAAACGATGTCTTAACTCCTCTTCTGTGCTTGGCCATGGTCCACCACCACATAAGCACAGAAATAAAAACAGTCCTATCCAGCTTGTGCTTTTCTTTGCACATATTACTTTTTAGTATGCTGAAAACAGAAATTGAAAGCCCAGAATTTTCAAGAAGCAAGAGCTAGTATTTAGGCTGGACAGACTAGAGCCATCAGTTCATTTTTATGAGTCTATTAGTGCATGTATAGCATGTTTGTGATGAGATTTAATTGTAACTGCTGTATTTAATTTTAAAAATTTAGTATTTTATTAATTTTAAAAAAAATCAATCTGATTAAAATTTTAAAAATCTATTTTTAAAAAATTATTCTCACCCTGGTTCCTTGTGTATCTGCATTTTATATCATATCGTTGCTCTTAAGTGGGCTCCTGGCATGTGTGTACACAATCCATAATTCCGTCATAGATGATGTCAGAGAGGAAACCAATTTGGCATATGGGTAGAAGGTATTTGAGGCTATGTCTAGAATGCAGGCTTCTTTCAGAAAAAATCTTCTGGAAAAACTTCTTCCAAAAGAGAGCATCCACACTGCAAAAGTACATTGAAAAAGCGATCTACTTTTTCAAAAGATAGTGACCATTCCGTGTGGATGTTATCTCGCACTTAAGCTGTAATTACTGTGGACCAAGTGGCCACCAGAGCACCTGTGCTTTCTTTCCTCTTCTTTCGAAAGAACTCCCTCTTCCCCGTCGAATGGCTTTTTCCTCATAGAATGAGGATTACCAATGTCGGAAAATCCCCTCTATTCTTTCGATTTTCTTTCGGAAGAATGTGATTGCAGTGTGGATGCAATTGAAGTTTTTTCGGAAAAACAGCAGTCTTTCAAAAAAAACTCTGTAGTATAGAATAGTGATAGAAATGTAGCCGTGTTAGTCTGGTGTAGCTGAAGCAAAATGCAGGACAATGTAGCACTTTAAAGACTAACAAGATGGTTTATTAGATGATCAGCTTTCGTGGGCCAGACCCACTTCCTCAGATCAAATAGTGGAAGAAAACAGTCACAACCATATATACCAAAGGATACAATTAAAAAAATGAACACATATGAAAAGGACAAATCACATTTCAGAACAGGAGGGGGATGCTGGGGGGGGGAAGGAAGGAAGGAAAGTGTCTGTGAATTGACGATATTAGAGGTGGGGAGAGTGGGATGTTTGTGAGCTAATGGTATTAGAGGTGATAATTGGGGAAGCTATCTTGGTAATGGGTAAGATAGTTTGAATGTTTGTTCATTCCTTTTGAGTGTCGAATTTTAACATGAATGACAGTTCAGAGGATTCCCTTTCAAGTGCAGATGTAAAAGGTCTTTGTAGCAGAATGCAGGTGGCTAAGTCATT